GTTTTGTATGAAGAGTATAATTATAAAAATAAATGCATGCTTCAAACCAGAACTGAAAAATCAAGAAGGCAATGGAACACACTTTTACACTGATGAAAGAAAATTTTTTTTAAAGATCAACTCACAAAACCCAAAATTTTATATTCTTAAAAAATATCGCTCAATTTTGGTAAATTCAAGATATTTTTATATAAAACAAAGCTGACAGGATTGTAATGAGCCAACCTGGACAATGAGAAATCCTAAAAATGTTCTTTGGCATTAAGAAAAATGATACCAGATGAAAACTAGAATCCACAGGTAAAAATCAAGAACACTGGAAATGGTAAATATGTAAGTAAATGTAGAAGACTATTTTTCTGTTTTCATTTCTGCAGTTACTGATTGTTTAAAGTAAATAATATTTAAGAGAGATTTTATATTAATGCATTGCCTAAATGTATGAGAACAATATAAAAATATGGAGAAGAATGCATGGTATACTATTAATGGCTTACATTTGTGAAGTAGTAAGAGTAAAATAAGAAATGGGAAGCAAGAATTGTGAAGAAAGTGGGTAATGTCTGTTGCAAAGTTAAAAGTGGTTCAATATTAACTCTAAGTAGACTGCGTTATGTTAAATAAATGATTATTGGTACTAAAGCAACTACCAGAAAAAAGCAAAGGGGAACAAAACATTTATATAAAATGAAAATAAATTTAAAAATTTAATTAATGCAAAAATAAAGCTCTAGAGCACAATAGAAACAATGAATTAAAAACAAAATAAAGCAAGGTTTTTTGCTTTGCCAGACTAAAATAAGCCAGACAGAGAAGGACAAATACCATATGTAGAATCTAAAAAAACAAATAAATGAATAAAATAGAAATAGACTCATAGGTTCAGAGAACAAACTGATGGCAGTTAGAGGGGAGGAGTGCTGGGAAACAGGTTAAAAAAGATGATGGGATTAAGATGTGCTGATTGCTAGTTATAAAAGAAGCATGGGGATACAAAGTACAGAATAAGGAATACAGTTAGCAAGACTGTTATAACTATGGTGCCAGGTGGGTGCTTGTATTACTAGAGGGAACACTTTGTAACCTATGTGAATGTCTATCTACTGCACTGGATATCTGAAACTAATACAAAAAAGTGTTGAATGTAAACTGTAATTCATAAATAAAATTAAAAAACCAAAAATATAACAAGGTGATATGCTTAAAGAAAACCATATTGATAACTACATTAAATGTTAATGGATTAATTATACCAACTCTAAGGAAGGTTAAAAAAACAGGTGGGTTAGATGAAAAGATGGAACAAAATGCATTATGTAAACACAACAGGGGAAACTTTATGCTTCTATCAGTATCAGACAAAGCCAATTTCAGAACAAAGAGAGACATTTCATTGTGATAAAACAGTCAATTAGGAATATGTAATCTTTTAAATGTGCATCTAATCGAAAGCATTAATTTAAGTTGTAAAAGGAAAGAAAGCAGAGATAAATGGAGAAATAAATGGAACCACAATTATAGTTGAAGATATTAATACCTATTTTTCCAAAATTTGAAACAAGTAGACAACAAAAAGAAAGAATATCACAAGACCTGGTGGGGTGCAAATGGAGACAATTGTACTTGAATAACAATAAAAAAAAAGAAGAAGGAAATAAAGTTCCAGACAAAATAATTCAATAAATAATCAGTTTTAAAATAAAAAAGAAGACCTGAGAACCATGAATTAGTTATTTACAAACACACCAATACACCACGTTGAATAACTGAAGAATGCACATTTTTTCCAAGAGCACAAAAAATAATCACCCATATTGATCATATATTAGGTAATGAAATAATTCTCAATATATTTCAAAAGGGAAATCTTACAGAGTATAGTCCCTTACTAGAAGCAGGTTAAATTAGAAATCCATAAGAAGATATCTAAAAATTTTACCAATATTTGCAAGTTAAATAACAGACTACTAAATAACTCAATGACACAGTAAAAAATCAGAAAGAAAAATTTAACATTATTTTGAATCTAATTGTAATGAAATATACAGTGTATGCCTGACATTTTTTTAAGAAGGAGAAGCATTTATTAACACATTCTATAAACCACAATCTTGAATCTTTCTGAAAGATAACTATAACTCCTAGTTCTACTTTTACCTTTCTTAATGTATCTTTTTGGAAAATGTGGAAGTACATATCTGCAATTTTTCAATATTCTTATTATTGCCATTTGGAATGACTAATTCTTTGTAATGGGGAGTGTCCTGTGCATACCAGGAAGTTCAACAGCTTCTCAGGCCTTTATTTACCGCATTTCCAATGGTGACACTTAAAAATAGCTCCAGATGTTATTACCTGGATTGAGAATCAGAGGTAGGTTTCCAACCCAAACACTTACCAACTGTTTTCATTGGCGCCTACTTAAATATTCTAAGCTTCTATATTTGTTCACAAGTTTGCTTTGAAAAAGGATAATTCCCATCAGAAGATTAACATTGTGTTTGTCATAGTGTCAACTCTTAACAAATATGAAATATCTCTGTTCAGCTGTGTAATCATTGACTTTACAGCAACCCATCAACTAAAATGATATCTTGTTATCACTAAACTACTTAAAAAGTTTAATTTAATCTTTTGGTTTATAGTTTTATGTATATGAATTTATCATTATAATTAAAATGTGTCAACCCTCATTTATTTACCATTAACATATGTTAAGCATAGAAATAGATTAAGATTGAACAATCTGTTCTATTAGGTATTACAGATTCTATTGCTTGATCTGTCACTAGCCAGTGCCATAAACAAGATATTTACCGCATCTGACTCTCAGTGTTCTCCATTGTGACATGAGAAAACATGAATTTCTTGTTCATTTCAACATGCAAAATACAAAATGTTTTAAAATTATAGGCATCGATAATTTTAAGAAATATTTCTCATTAAATTGATTATAATCTCTAGAGTTGTAAGAAGTAAAAACTAATTTGACTAATTTAATATGAATATAACCTTTAGGAAAAGAACAGAATAAGATATAAGTAATTCTAATTCAGCTCTAGCAACAAGATAACTCTTAAGCAGACATTTAAATTAATGTTAAAAAGACGCAAGATATTGCACAATTTCAAATAATACAATAATCCGTGTATCTTATAAAATTATATTTTTACTCATGCTAGCTTACAGATTCTCATTCAATCATTAACTAAATATTTGTTATGTATATATACCCAAGTCACTACTTTAATGAGTATCCGATATTACCACAATTTTTCTTTCAAGAAGCAAGTTTAGTGTAGTCGAGGAGGCTCAGGATACAATAAAAGATAGTGTAAGGACTAGGAACAGTCAATAACTTCTGTGAGAGCAAAAAGGTTGTCTGAAGCAATTAAAACTCTAAGAATTATCAATACACTTGATGAAACACATTAGTTGTTGAGGACCTTAAAAAATAGCAAGACTTCTATTACTAAAAAGAAGAGGGTAATTGTCCTAAACAGGGCACAGAGCAAGAACAAGGTAAAGCCTGAAATCTTTGATACCCATGATGTAACTGCCCTAACAAGCAGCCAGGCCCTGTTGAGAAATATGATTGGCAACAAGATTAGAGAGACTTTTTAATGCCAGGTGGAAGAAGTTTAGCTTTATGCACAATGAGTTAGTATCAACATTTTTTAAGAATTATATCACAAAAAGCACTTTGTAGAAAGATACACAGAGTAACATGGATTACAATAATTTTCAAGTGGGAGTAGGAAAAGAAAACCAGAAAATAGTAATACCACTATCAACATTCTTTTTAATTATAAAAGGCAGTATGACTGATTGGATTAATGTATTGACTATTTGGTGATTTTCAATAAGTACTCCTTTTAAAAAGCGATGCCCACATTTCTATTTTTTTATTATTCTAAATGACACAAGTTATTCCAATGTATACCATAAAATTCGTTTTTGGTTTACAAAGGCAGTTTTTTAAAAGTCTTATTTTCTATATATAGAAAATATACAAATTAAAGTATATATTCGAGCAGATTATTTTTTCTGACTCTTGTTTTAAAGATTTTATTTATTTACTTTTAGAGAGAGGGGAAGGGAAGGAGAAAGAGGGGGAGAGAAACATGTGCGAGGCTGATCAGTTACCCCTCACGCACCCAGAACTGGGGACCTGGCTTGAAACCCAAGCATGCGCCCTGACTGGGAATCCAACCTGTAACCTTCCAGTTCACAGGCCGATGCTCAGTCCACTGAGCCACACCACCCAGAGCTGACTCTTGAGGATATATTATACTATTTTTAATGTATGAGGGAAAACATGTTATTTTGTAAAGTTCTGTTTATTTATTATCAGCCATATGACACCTCAAGTGGAAAAACAGTTTAGCTAAACACAAGGAACCTTGTAGCTCCTGACACATGTCACCTGAAAGTTCTAAGCAAACCTGTTATGGGGAAAAATTCAACAAAACGGCAAACTCTGTATATTGGGCAACCTAAGAACCAGCCTCATGCATGTGTTGCCCTGTGGTTTCCCTGAGCCGGCGTGTTTCTGCATGTGTCAGTTGCCACTGTCCCCCTGCTTAAGAGATTGAGAAGATAAATGTGTACTCTTTCCGAAACCTGTGAACATTAAGAACTTTCAGGTTAAAAACCACAGTCACAGTAATTTCAATTCTCAAGGTAAACATCTGTTTTTGTACCAACTCCATCTTACATTGCTAAAGTGTTCCGCAGTGTTTGGGAAATGATATCACAAAATATTTTTTCATAAAAGTTTGTTGATGGTTTCCTTCAAGCATGCCAATGCAAAGAATTGAAATCTACTATGTAATAAAAAGCAAAACCACCCTAAAGTACAAAGAGAATAAATATTTTAAATGTTTCTGCGCTTTTAATGAAGTCTGCACCAGACACCAAGCAAGGCTAAGCAAAACAAAACAAAACAAAACAAAACAAAACAAAACAAAACCAGACTAATTACAAAAATTGGCACTTACCCATATTTTGCAAAATTTGCCCAACGTTTCATTATGGATCTACTCAAAATTTCCTCAGCTTTTGTGTAATTTACTCTTCTCTCCAGAGGTAAGCCAAAGACAAATTCAATTTCATAACCATGCATCACTCCCATCCATTCAGGCCAAGGGAGTTTAGATGACTGGTGTTCAAAATAGTAGAAAAAGGCATCATTTCCCAAATCTGTGAGCTTTTTGGTGAACTCCAAGGCAGGGCATATGAAGTTGTAATCCCCAACAACGTCATCCAAGGCCTCCCGGTATTTTTCAGCTCTTTGATCATCTAAAAAGTCCACGTAATGGAAAAGTATCGATTCCCTTCCAAGTTCACTCACTCCTTGAAAAAACATTTTTAAACCTTCTAGAAATTCTTGTCTAGTTATGATACTGTCATTATCTTTGCTGAAACCAGGAGAACCATATACCAAAAATGCTGTTCCTTCATCTTTATTAACACCCACCAAGATCTGGGTTTTTTTGAACTGTCCAAGTTGAAGTAGTGTGTCTGGCATGTCAGTGAGAAAATCACCATCCACCAGTGGACCAAAAGGTACTTGCAAGAGCGTACCGTAGGGAACAATAAATACTTCATTCAAAAGAATTTCCTGGGGGTCTTTATTTCGGAGACATTTGATTATCTCAGTCTCATTTTCTCTAAAGCAACCCATGAATTTAGCTAAGGTCAATGTTCTGTTCCTAGCTTCCTCAAGAGAGTTGACTGCCCAACGGGCATTAGAAGATCCACTTTGCAGAATGGCTCTGGTAAACAATGGGTGGCTTCTAGGGGAGAGTAAATGAAGGCTCACTGAAGCTGCTCCTGCACTTTCTCCAAAGAGAGTTACACTTTTAGAATTTCCACCAAAAGCTGCTATATTCTTTTGGACCCACTGAAGTGCCAACTGTTGGTCAAACAAGCCCATATTACCTGGTGCCTCAGAATTTCCTGGTAAAGCTAAAAATCCTAGGGCACCCACCCTATAATTCATTGAAACTACAATAACTCTCTCAACTCGTGCCAGAAACTTGCCATCATAAACAGGCAAAGATGACGTTCCAGTTTGAAAACCACCACCATAGATCCACACCATCACAGTAGCGTTTTTGGGCTTAGGTACTGGAATCCACACATTCAGGTACAAGCAGTCTTCACTGAGGTCAGTATTTGGATTCCACATCTCTGACCCAATAAAGCCTGGGAAACTTTGATCTGTGTTCTGATAGCAAGAATTTGAATATTTTGTGGCATTCCAAATATCAGACCATTTGGTCAAAGATTGTGGCTTTCTGAACCGAAGTCTACCAAGAGGTGGCTGTGCGTAGGGAATTCCAAGAAAGGCTGTCACTGTGCCACCAAGAACTGACAAGTTTATCCCTCTGACTTTACCACTCTTGGTTGTAATGATGATGTCTTCTTCAGAGTGTGATTCCCCGATAAGCACCCAGAGCAGAAGAAACAGCAAAAGACATTGGATGTTTATGATTATACCCTTGCTCTGCATATTGGTTTCTGAAAGAGATAAGTAGCAAGTTTTAACAGCCTCATGCATCTGGCACTATATTTTGTTGATGATAACTAATATATAGTAGCTCTAATTTATCTTATAAATGATGAAAACTAATAAATGTGCAACCACTACAAAGGTTTATGTAAAAAAAAACAGAAAGAGTTGGAGACATTTTAGTTTTCAACTTCAAAAACAAGTGGAATGAGAAGGCAGAAACTATTTCCCTTTGGCAAAATTTATTATCAAACCTCTATAAGGAAGATTTAGTATTTCATACAATGGAGACCCAAATAAACTGGAATTATTTTCTGGAGGCAGACCCATTGTAGTACAGGCTTCCCTCGCTAGGTGAGTGTTCTAGGGAACTGTCTCTATCAGTGCACCAGCTGGAATTGTGAAGCCAAGCTGCACTTGGCTTCAGTGAATTTTTCTGAAGACTCTTTGAATGTGTTTGCACATAATGGGTGATTTACAAGCACCTCTGCCCACACCATGCTGAGCGTTCAGCAGTTTTTGACCAAAAATGGCATGAACCACATGCCCCACCTTCCCCAAGCAATATTTTTTTTTGTTCACTTCCTGGAATGAAGAAAAGTCCTCAGAGGGAAACCTTTTGCTGAAGCGGAAGAGGATAAACAAACAAAAAAAAAAAACTGCAGAAGCAGAAAAAGGCATCAAAATTAAAAGACATCAAGTTCAAAAACAGTTTTGAGCAATGGAAAAAACGTCTTAATAGGTGTATTGCCTCAAATGGGGAGTACTCTGAAGGTGATTCAAGTTTAAAAATGTAAGAATAAATACACAATTTTTTATAAATAAATTCTAGGATTTTTGGATCTCTCCCTTGCATAGGAAGTTTCTCTCAAGCATGTACTAGTTTGTACACTTCTTCGCATACACAACACTACCACTAGTGGCATTAAGTTGTACTGTATTTATTACAGGTGTAATTTCTACCATGGTTAGAGGAGGAAATAGAAGCTCATGCAGTCTCTGAAATATTTCCAGTTCTAATCATGGCTGGCTGGCTCTTGACACAACTGTGAAGTAGGTTAAGAACATTTAAGGATCTTAAGTCTATTCTTGTCTTTTTCTGTTTCTTTCTGTGGTCCTTTTTGACTAATGGCTTATTCCTCTATGCGATCTCAAAGAACTTTTGCTTCTTCCACTTTTTCTAGGAATTTCTCAACTTTATCCTTTTCATAACTATCAAAACACAAGTAACTCTGACCATGCCTAACACATTCGACCTCACTAGCTGCACATACTTTAATAATTAACTAATATACATATACACAGTGAATAACCCCTGAGTGTAAAATTCCTTCTAAATCAGTATCTTCTCCCATATATTATCAGCCACTGGTTCTCTCCATTAGCATTGTAGTTCAGATAAAGAAGACTACATGATTTTTTAATTTATTCAATTTTAGAAAAATTATCTAGTATATATCCACAACCCTACCTTTTCTATTTTTCCCATAGTTCTTACAGTATTAACAAATTAGTTTTCATACTGTAAAGAACAAAAGGCAATTTATTGTATTATTTGCTATTTAACAAGCAACAAATAGATCGTCCAAAATCTCTTCTGACTATACACTGAGATCATATAAAGGAAGAAACCTTTAGGCATAAAGGACCACAGAAGGGACGATGGAAACAGATTAATTTGTATATTGACAGTTAAGAAAAAGGCTATTGTTGAGAAATCACTACAAAAAGTGGGGAAAGATTAAGTAATCTTTGAGACCAACAAAATTATAACTGTTCAGCATTTTATTAAATAATACTTATTTGAAGACATGAAAGACCATTTGGGGAGATCAAATTTTATTAAATATTCAGAGTGAACTCTCAAGATATTAAAAATAATATAAATAAAAATCAGATTCAGAAACTTTCTGTGACAAAGAGGGAAGGAAAATGTAATCCAAAAATAATTTTAAAGAACTTACACCTTTATATAACTGAAAGAAAACTTGACTCACATCGTCAAATACAAACAGCAAACTCATCCATATAATGGTAATAAAGGACAACAAATATACAAACTATTCTCTTTAATACTTTTTGATACTATAATTAGAAATCCAGCTAATGTGTCCAAGAAGCTAATCTTCTGAGGATTAATAATTTGTGTTATAATTAGTTATTATCATTATTTTTTAGATTGTCTTAGAAGGCGAATATAAGGTCCTATCCTTATAACCATCCTAGATATAAGATACTCATATTTTAAATCAACCTAATTCATCACTGCTCATAAGACAGCTAATGATCAACAAGTACTTTTGATTATCCAAAAGCATCTGAATAACCCATTGAATATATTTTGTTCAGTGTCAAGTACTTATGGATATATCTGTATCTCTACTTCTATCTGTCTCTATCTTTGTTGATACCTATGACTGTGTCTATATCTACATATCTACTCCATGTCTAATCTCCCTCAATATATGTATATACATAAATATATATATGTATATGATTTTTATATTTTTTAAAGATTTTATTTATTTGCTTTAGAGACAAGAAGGAGGAGAAGGAGAGGTAGAGAAACATCAATATGTGGTTGCCTCTAGCGTGTCCCCCACCAGGGATCTGGCTTGCAACCCAGGCATGTGCCCTGACTGAGAATTGAACTGGTGACCCTTTGATTCAAAGCTGACACTCAATCCACTGAGCCACACCAGATAGGGATGATAATATATATATATATTTAAATTAAGTGATTGTTATTTTTAATGTTCTTAATTGTGGTACAATTGAGTTTGTGCCAAGATCAATTAAATGTGTTATTGAACCATAAATATTTTAACACTTTTTATACTGTTGTAATTTTAGGTATTATAACTATATTAAGTGGAATATTTATATCATAAATAATAATAGACTTGACATTTACTAATAAAATTTTATACTTCCAAAAGCTTAGGAGTTTTAGAGGTAGTGCTAACACAGTTGTTTTTCCCCCTTCGAATAATTCCTTAGCCCTTTCTGTTAAATAAATGGAGGTGGGCATCTGGAGTAAAACAAAGCACTGTGATGCAATTTTTTTCCTTTTTTAAAAACATGCTTTGGAAAGAAAAAGGAATTAAAACACAAACCTGGTTTACTTTGAACTGCATTTCAACAGATTAACCACAGCATCACTGGTGGAACACATTTCTCTCTTCAATTTACCTCAATCAGTGTTCTTCTGCATCTAATGTAAGGATTGTTGGATTTTTTTATTGGTTTTATATAACTATTTTTTGTGTTTAAAAAACAAAAATAAAATCCTAATAATTTTTGGTTTCTGATAATTTTCAAATTATTTTTATATAATTTACTAATTATTACCAAAATATTTTGTTTTTCTATATAATTAATAAATGTAAAAATTTTATTGCATATGTTAAAAAATGTTTGCTGTATCAACTAAAAGGTTTTAATATCATTCTAATGCCATTTCCTTTGACTTTGCTTCTTGTATGTTTTTATTTATAGTTTATGCCAAGTGGATCTTATATATAGTATGATTTATATGAATAATAATCTTTCTCTTTTAACAATGATATATATGAGTAATCACTGTGTAAACTACACAATTAGTAATATTAAAAATAATTCTAAGCATGTATTTTTTAGAAGAATGGCAATATAATTCTAATGCACCTTTATGCTACCTGCTGGAAAGCATTACATACCATATTATTAAATATAAACTATAATACTCAAACATGCACCTGTACACACACTTACTGTTAGTGTAACCTAACATTTTTCTACTTAGCTGCATTACTTTATTTAAATAAGCATTATTTTGTCCATTTATTAATTTGTTATTCTCAAACCTAACTTGTTGCTCTGCAGTTTTATCCTTAAGAGTGTTTATATTTTTAATATGTACCATCACATGATCAAATAGTGAAAGCAGAAATAATAAAAGGTAGCTATGAAAAGGTCTATATCTCTAAATATACTAATAATTAAAATATTCAACAAAACTTTATTCTTTTCTATTATAAATTCTGGTACAAATTGACAACTATCACATTAAATAAACACTTTAAACACAGAGAACACATGTTGATCATAAAAAATACAGTGAATTTTGATGCAATGTACAACTAAGTATCTGAATTTAGGTTAATTAACTTACTTCCATAATGTTTAATATTTGAAAGAAAGGCTGCAGTTATTGTTGGGATGGCAAAAGGAAGCGAATGATGAGAGTAGGAAGAGGGGAAACCTGAAAGACAATGAACACTGCCGTGTTCAAAGTTCATACAATGCTCCAGGATATAAAAGTCACCAGTAAACTTTTGGAAAACATTCTAAACTTTTAAAAATATAACTTACAAAATAAAGAAGGTACAGAAATAATTTTCTACATTTCATATTTTAATACAAGTTTTTAAGTAGAGAGTTCCTTGACCAATTAGTAGTTACATACAGTCTGAGACAAGGGCATAAGTAAAGGATTGATATACAGAGGTATGTATTTGCCATGCTTTCCATAATGGGATATCAGCTAAATTTTCTAAACAATGGTGCATTTAAGCAGTTCTCAAAGAATGGTCACGTAAATATTGATAATACTTTTCTCTGAATATATAGTAATTTTCCTATATTTTAAATGGTTATAATAAAATACATTTTTATACATAAATAATGGCTCTTAAAATTGTGGGGAAGTGCTACATGGATAATATGATTTAACGCAAGCACTACTAAAATGAATTTGGTTAAATTAAAACAGCTATGCTATTATACTAAACCTTAAAGGCTTGTTTTGTTGTAAGCGAAATGAACTGGGGAACTGAGGAAGTCTGTTTATAAATAGACTATAGCGCTGTCTTTCACAGACCCTTCAGATACCGTTAGGCAACAAAAGGATGTGTGTAGATAGATGACAGTATATTAGGTATGAGAAACATAAGATCTGTATCTGTCCTCAATCGGGAAAACATTCACAAACTTTTTAATGTGTGAATAATTTAAACATTTAATATTAGATATCTTGGATTTCCTTTGAAAGTTGAATTTGTTTTTAGGTTCACAACTATTCAATTATAATTCTCTAACATTTGGGGCAGTTTTTATAAGAATGAGCACATTTTGCTAGAAAAGCACTAAAATAAGACAACGTATAATATAAATATGTTTCATTAATCATTACTGAGGAATAAGTCAAAGCTCAAACTGAATTTGTTAATAAGATGCCACTTAAAAGATATTATTAGCTTGTGTTTGAAAACTGAAATGCAGGGTTGATCCCACATATTTTCTTAGGATTAAAGAGCAGGACATTATAAACAAACAATAACAACAAATCTAGGTAAATAAAGCAAAACTTTGCAAATCAAATTAGAAATTTTATTGAGCATCCAAAAAGCCTTGTTACTTAAAATTAACAGAGAATTCTAAAGATTCTCATTTTAAGGATAAAGCCACTCTCTGAAAGCTCATCCTCATTCCTTTTAAAAAGTAACTGTACAGATCGAATATATCTATTATAACTACAAGATAGTTTATATTATGGAAAGCATTACACAGACTATTAATATCACCTAATTGAGGCATACTCTAAAAACTAAAAAATACAACTAGAAATCACTAGCAATGAAATAATTTTGTTTACATTTAGTTTACTTTTAATAATTCATACATTTTACTCAATACCTAATTTTCTGATTATACAAGAACTGATATCATTAAAATAAAGATAGGTTTACAAGACCAGACTACAGATAAAAGTCTATATTTGTTTATAGACTATAATAAAAATCACAATAAATATAAAATACTATGATATAATTTACATATATATTAAAAGAGGACTACAAGGCACATGGTCCAAAAGTTTGTAAATCAAATTAGGAAATAGATTTTCCTTTTAGATATGAGAAACACAGATTTTCCTTTGCCTATTGATACTGTTCAAGTTTCAGATGGCAAAAATGTTGATTAAGAAAAGTACTCTATCACGCCCGACAAGAGAATTATTCTTTTCATATAACTTAGAAAAATACGGTAAAACTGGTGAAAGACCATTTTTGTTACTCTTTTAAGGAGAAATTCATTAAACATTTCATTTAAGGGAAAAATAGCATAAAATGTTTGCACTTAGGGAGTGTGCTAAAAACACACATAATAGTGATTCCACAAGTGCTACGATCCTTTATGTAAAGTTGAGCAAATTTATTATTTCCTCAGCAGTTAAATGGACTCAGTCTGTGTCCCCTGAATAATAGGAAAATTCATGCATACGTCTGCTCACTTGTTTCATCTGACCTTTTTGCTATGACTGCCCCCACAGTGCACCAAAGGGGCACAACAATACACGTGAAGGTATCACACTCTTCTAAGAATGAGCTTTGCAGTAACTTGCGTTGCTGCACAGAAATGCAAATTCAGAGTAACTTACCCGACAACTGCAACAAGATGATAAAGTTTGCAAGGAGTGGAAATCATGTATTACTTCAGGGAAATGCAGTATGCAGCTGCTGCTCCAGCCTGTAAATTGGACTGCACTGACATTACAATCAACTGTTACTGACAAAGCTCGCGAGACTTGGCAGCAGCAGCTAGATCTAGAAGCAGCCAATCTTTACTTTCTGACATCTGTTCAAGGCTAATGGTATGAATGCAATAGTGAATCATTTACAAAGTATTACCGGATTCATGGTTTAAGATTGCAGGCAGTCATCTAAGAAGGAAGAAAAAATAGAAAGAAATGCTTCTTTAAGAGAAGCTGAAATCGAATAGAAAATGTGGGGTTTTTTAAATACTACCAGAACTTTTAAGAATTTTTCCTCTTTATAGACTATTTTCTTAGGATCATGTTAAGATTTAAAGATGTACATGTTCTAAAAAATGCTGTTATTGAAAACTTTGTGCCTTCAATTTGTGTTAGTGATAAAGGAATGTAAAACATAAATTAGGAAACAACACAATTACTCTGAGGGCAAAGGTATGAAAATCAAAAGATTAGTTATATTAAGTGAGTGAATGTCTCTTATATGCATGTCTTTTTAATATATATGAGTTAAATATTATTAATCATAATTTTAGTTGATGAAGCTACGTAAGACTTAAAAGGATCACAAACTTGCTATATATCCTATCATTAGTAGTTTTGAAATCAGCATTTTAACCTAGATTTGTCTGATGTCATTTCATGTCACCTGTTTCCAAGCCAATAGCTATTTTGTCTTTTAAAGTTATCCAGGCTGGGAAAATTATTACACAAGAGGTATTTATTAGATAAACTTTATACTGTATACTCATAATAATTTGTGGTTTGTTTAGAATATAGTTTATATAATGACAACTGTTCTCTAAAGGAGAAAACTTTTTGAAAATGGTACACTGACAATTTTGCAATGTTTTTTACAAAGATGGCATTTTTGTAAAAATGTAGTCATTCTGATGGTCTGCAGGAAAAATAATTCATTGGTTTAATATATGTTATTTTTTATGCAAATGCCAAAATTCTTCTCTCCAACATAGTTCCAATGCATTGATGTCTCTATTATCTATGGTCAGTCTCATTCTCAAATCCTGCAATTTTTGAGAGATGTTTTACCCATTGACAAATTCAGCAGGGCATTTGGTATACTCCCAATATCTATCTACTCACTATTCTGTAAAATATACTACATATATACACATATTTTAATTTTAAACAAGAACCTAAACAATAATCTCTTATAAGAATTTTTTTTTCTTAAACACATTTCCACTGGCTGCCTAGCAACATCAACTGATCACAAAACCTTACAAGTTTTCTCTGCTCAGGTTTTGCTTCAGGGAACTGCCTTTAGCTCCTGCTCCTATAGTTCATGATTTCTTGGTTGTACCCATTATTTAATGCATAATTTCAGTGCATTCGTCTTTCTGTCTTATTTGAGGGTTTCTTTCTTTGTGGCTGATCTGCTGCTTTACTTCTGTGGTGTCATAGTGGGAGGATGTAGACACAGGTGGTGAGTCTCATTTCAGGGTCATAGGCAAGTGTTCCCTGACAGCCTGATGGTTATATGCTCATGCTGTTAGATGTTGTGTGTGCCTTTAAGTGACACTGCTGAAATACCGCACAACACCACACAGATTTAACACTGTTCAGATTTCGCAACCATGTATGTTGAAGCTCAGGGAAGATAACTGAAATGGTCTTGACCATGGTTATTGCCAGTTAGCCTATTTCAGTGACTCTGCTTTTAAGGTTTAGTGTAACTTAGTTACCACTGGGCTGGTTGTTTTCTAGATAGCGGCATTCAAGAAAATTTGAAGCAGTGTGGGAAATATTAATTAGTAGTATAGATTCATCTTGCTTAGGCACTCTGATGTCACACAAGTACTCTACCTTTGTTAGTTTTTTACAAGAGCAATGTATTCTCTAAATAAAATATGAATTACAAAGTGTATATTTCTGCATTTTACATATAACAGAGGTGAAAAAGATCAAATGCTATATTCCATTGTAGCTTTTTAAATCTATGTAGAGTTGGAGTTACATATAACAATAGTTAAATAGGTTGTTATCATAATTTTGTTTCCTGTTTTAATACATTTCATATTATTTTGATTAACATTTTTAAATGACTGAATCATATATCAGCAATGTGAATATCATTGCACTATTTGTTACTTATATGATGACAATAATAATTTTAACTATTAACTACTATGTGCGTACAGTATTCTGAACATTTTGGCTACATTTTAATATATTAACTCATTTAAAACTGAAAACCACCTTTTAAGTAAGTACTATTATTATTCTTATTTTATGGTGGAGGAAATTTAGCCACAAAGTGTTTAAGTAGCGTGCAAAAAAATCATACAGGCAATGAAGGTGATTTCTAATATAATTTTATGCAAACACTATTACATTTGGCAATTTTGTGCATGAATAATTTAATTGCAAATTTTGCTTATTATCTTAATATGTCCTTGCAGAAGTTAAGTAACTCAGTATGACTTGTGCAAGATAGTGGTTTTCTTTTCTTCTTTGCAGTCTTCTAAAATCCTCGCACTATAGCTGTTGAATAAGAATAGGTTTTCAACAATTCCTGCAAAAAACAGAAAATGTTTTTACTCAGAATAAAACTGAACAAATCCCTGGAGCCAAGAGATCAGACATGCATACCTGGATGTGGCATGTGTTTAAAGTGGATTTCTTGACAGGTTTTATAAGTGAGCCCAACTCTGCAGGCAATACAATTATTTAATAGTATGGTAGCAGCTAATATAGAAGTGCCTGAAGTCAGTTGCATCAATGAGACAAAACAAAGATTTTTAAAGTGAATGAAGAATGAGTGATGGGGGTCTGAGCTAGCCTGCTATGTGACACAGATTCAGGAAGTTCCCAGACCACACTCCAAGGGGCCGAGTCCCAGGGCCGGGCTCCTCAGGGACTTGTTATTCCATCATGTATACGGTTTATCTTTTTTTCCAATTTAATAATGTTCAATGATACCTTTTACTTTAAGCTTATTTGAAAATGTGTCAAACATAGTTTTTTGACATCTATTTTCATATAATTAACATCATCAATTATTTTTCTTTGACTCTAATTCATCTAACTCACTTTTGTTGTAAAGGCAAATTAAATTTGTCATGGAAATAGTAACAAAAAATGGACAAAACAATTATACAGATTTTTTACATTTATTATTTTTCATGAAATAATTACTTCAACCAGAGTTTTTCCAAAGGATGTATACTTTTATGGCTAAGGTACATGTGACTAACTACCTGCACAAAATATTATCAATTTATCCTCCCACCAGCAAGCTAAAAAATATGTCTCCTTCATGCTCAAAAGACAGACAAGAGTCTCATGCTTTCCAGAGGGAAGCAGGGGAATAGCAAAGGGGGTCAGATATATGGTGACAGGGAAGGATTTGACTTTGGGTGGTGGGATCACAATGCAGTGCATAGATCATGTATCAGAGAACTTTATACTTGAAACATATATAATCTTATTAACTCTCACCTCAATTAATTTAATGAAAGAAAAATGAGCTATCAAACTATGAAGACATGAAGGGAAATTAAATGTGCATTACTAAGTGAAAATAGAGCACAGATGTTAATGATTTCAACTATATGATGTTCTGGAAAGGCAAAGCTGAAGATATAGTTAAAAACATCAGTGGTTGCCAGATTTTGGGTGGAGGGAGGGATAAATAGACAGTAATACTATGATATAGGATTATACTCTGATTATTTCAAAACTGTGGATACATGTTATTATCTGTGTGTTCAAACTCAGACAATGTACAACACCACGAGTGAACCTTAATGTATACTGTGGACTCTGAGTGATGATGATGTGTCAACATAGGTTCACCCATTGTAACAAATGTCACATTCTGGTGGGGGATGTTGATGATAGGTAATACTACACATGTGTGGAAGTGGGGATATGTGGGAAATCTCTGGACTTTACTCTCAATTTTGCAATAACCTGAAACTGCTCTAAGAAATAAATATTATTAAATAAAAATACAGTTGATTATTGTTCATTTCCCATTTTTTTAATTTTACTTCACAAAATAAAAATTTACATTTAACTGGTTTGCTTATTACTGTGATCAATTATATTTTCATGTGTTTATTAGTTTCCAAATACTACTTTTATTTAGATATAATTTTCAACTTACAGAAAAGTTTCATAGCAGAATAAATAAGTCTCATATACTTTTACCCAGAGTCACAAAATGTTAATATTTTGTCCCATTTCCAACAGCATGCTCTTTTTTCATATATATCTAAATGATAATTCAGATATGTGCCTATTTTTTCTGAATCATTTTGCTGTTATTTGCTGACATCATGTTGGGTACTGCCCTGCCTGGTATCAGAAGCTGTAACCACCACCACCTCCCCCTCTTCCCCCCGCCAAGGCTAAGGCTGAGGGAACGACCTTGGACCCTAAGCCACCGAGGAGACAAAAGCTTATCTCCCTGGCAGGAGCACCACTTCTGCTCCTTTTACTTCACCCTGCCTGGCCCCCAATGCTTGGTCGGTTAGCCAATGACGGGTAAGATTCCCCAAGGGGGCAATGATCTAAGACAGGCATGATCATGTGGAAGGCCTTCAAGGAAGGATTTTGGGGGCTACAGCAAAAGGGGGTGATGGACCCTCGCCCCTTGGCTTTGACATAGCCAGAGTCCTCATTGTCTGCAAGAAAACCTCCTAATCTCTTGGCTGCCTTACTTTCCTTGCTCCACCTAAGCCTGAAACAATGACGGAGGGTGGTGCAGCTCTGTCCTGGAAAGGGCGGGTTCCCTGGGTGATCAGGCCTAAGAAAGAATATGTAAAATCCTGTGAAACCTGAGTTGTTTAGAATGCTTTCAATTAACTGATAAGTGTCCAAGGAAGAAGTTAAGTTTGTTCCTCAAAGTTTTACAGCCCTTTAGCTATCTGACCCTAACTCAAAATAGGCCCTCAGAGTTCTTTGTTATCCGTTGTTTGATCCTTACTTCCTGGCAATGATTAATGAGATTTACCTGAGTTCTTGTGCAAACAAACCCAATAAAAGCCATTGAGGAACAGACTCTTGGTCCTTCTCCTCTGAGAGATTGGCCACCTTTCCTCCCCAAGCAGATCAGGTCTTGGTAGACTTATTCTCATCCATGGCAGATGGGGGGGGGGCTCCTGTAAGATCTATGGATACAACCTGCTCTCTGACTGTATAAATAAGGGAATTCAATCAGCAGTCTAATAAATAGAAAACACAATTAAATAATGCTCTTATTGAGGAATGATTCTAGTTTAAGAAGACACCTAGTATATATAAAAGGAATAATATGTCAGAAAAGAATTCACAGACCCCGATGAAAATATTAATACAGACAAGTATTAATTTGTATTAACAAATTTATATTAAAATCTTTAGGTGTACAATTGATATGGAACTGGAGATTCTATATTCCTGAGAAACCACACAGTTTACATTAAGAATTTCATAACTTAAGCAAAAGGTAAAACATAGCATCATGGATGATGGAATCAATAGAATATTGGGCACATAGCAGTCCTTAATATACTTAATTTATTTAAATTGAACTTTTATCAAACTTTAAGATATGACTTATACTTTACATAAAATAAAACAAATAAATGAACAAAATAAACTATATCACAATGAAGTAACCAAGTGACTCCTGAAGTTGGCACGTCCCGGCCTGGTCATTTCAACAGAACAGGTTCTGGGTGAGACTGGACAGCACGTCCGGGACCAAACCAGATGCAGTGGGTGGCACAGGATAGAAATGGGTTGGGATGCCAGAGAGGATATTTGGGAGTCACATTTGAAGATCTAAATAATTTCTGGGCATTAGATTAATGTGGTGAGAATAATGAGAATAAGGAGAATAATGTGGTGAAAGTTCTTGGTTAAAGGAAGTGAGTCACAGAACATTATGAAAATATAATCCCATTACAGTATGCATACACACACACACACAGAAAGATTTGGAAAGACATGAATTAAGATATTAACAGTGGGCCCTGGCTGGTGTGGCTCAGTGGCTCTGTATAATAGACAGATAATATATTATATTATCTGTAATGCATGTGTATCATTACTATAATTATTATTTCTATATCCTCAAATAGAAAGTGAAATATAACTATAGTCAAAAATTCCAGCTTGCACCTCATGTTCAGATGATCTAACTGGAGTTTTTGTCTTGTGTTAATTGAGATGTTGAAGAATTGAAATGATACAAAGCTGCCCATTTGACATTATTGAAATTAATATGTATGTATGGAAAAATAACATAAAGGCAAAAAAAGTTGCACTGTGAAGACGGTGAGGCAAAGAGATTTTATGGTGAGAGGAAGTGAATAAAGTGAGAGGCACTAAAATTTAAGAGAAGAGAGTGATATGGTCAGCTGTCCTCGAGCAGAAATTTTGGGCACAGTCATTGGAATGACTTTAGGAAAGTTCGGTCTTTGTGGGGAGGTGTAAATCCCTCCTGAGAATCCTCAGAGATGTTAGTAGAGACTAACATTGTTTTCCAATGATCTCAAGCAAGTGTGTTAATCTGTGTGTGTGCCCCCAATAGAGACATTGGCTGAAAAAATAGGCAGACGTGGGTCTAATATGAGGGGAAAAAGAGACTTATGTAATGTAAAATAAAGTTGTTATGCTACTATATTATAAAGTGGACATTATAACATTTGACTCTCCATTTCTACAAGTATAATTTGACAAGTTTCCAGTTTGTATACAACACATTTCAATAAAAATAAGCTTTTATAAAATATTTTTGACCATTTTAAGAGCACATTTTGGAGGCATACAGTGACTTCTGAGATAAGAGTTGCAAAAAAGCAACCGGTGGCACTTTCCCCACTAAGTTCTTGCCCTCATTCCCAAGTAATCTCTTCTCATTTTTTCCTTCCAGATAATCTTCTGTCTTCTCTGCTGTATTTAGGGATACCTCTTTTTTTTTCTTTGATTTGAAATTTTGTTTTAATTACTCCAGGATGATTTTGCAAAGACCAAAAATAGACTTTATTTTGGGGAAGAGTAAGAAAAATAGCCAAAGCCACATGTAGAAATTGTGAACTGCTGAGACTCATTTCTGTTTTGCAACTAGCTTACAAATGCACTGCCAAGTAGTCTGACACTTAGCTAAGCATTGGATTGCCAGTGCATTACTTCAGTTACTAAATATAATCAGGGCATTAATAATTAAACTTGTTATGTCTTATTACAGTCAGTGTCTTCATATTGTTTTTCAGTGTTTTCATATTTGATGATTACATTTATGGAAAGATTTTTATCATGCAAAGAAAATGTATTCAGAGTCTATTACTAAATATGGAGAAAAGTATTTTGTTGAACATGAGAAAACTTACATTAAGATAATTTGCTGCCTCCAAGTAATGATTCTACCTTTGATTTCTTTCTTAAACCCATCAGATGCCCCTTTAGTCTTTCTCTGTATAATCATTTTTCTGATGTCAGATTTCTGGTTTTGTTTAAATGATCAATATTATATAAAACAGATTAGTTCTGAAAATTCTAAGAAGTATGATTTGAAAGGGTGAC